CATGATACCCATTGTCAATTAAAAAAAATATGGACAAGTTCTGCCTTCAATTGACATTCAACCAAATGACTGGATAAATAAAATTTGGGGTATCCATGCAATAGAATATTATCTGGCCATTAAAAAGGAACAAAGTATTGGTATATGTGGAAGGTTGGATAAACCTTGAAAACATTATGCTAAGTGAAAGGAAACCATCATAAAAAATCTAAATATTACCTGACTTAATTCATATGAAAATCTAGAATAAGGAAATCTATGGAGACAAAAAAGTAGATTAAGCGTTTGCTTATGGCTGGGAGGGATGAAGGAATAGGTGGGTGACAGATAAAATGCATAATGTTTATTTTTGAAGTGGTGAAATTGTTTCAAAATATGGAGATAACTTCACTGGTCTGTAAATATAGTAAAAATCATAAAACTGTATATTTTAAATGGATGAATTGTATGGTAAATAAATTATATCTCAAGCTGTTTAAAAAGGAAAAAAATATGGACAAGTTCTGCGTTCATATTTGGGAATTTCACATTGTTTTTCTTTCTACTTGAATTTATATTTTAATTTCATTTCCACTGAAGAGTATTATTCTAATCTAAAGAATTTGTGAAAACTGTGAGATTCCATGTACCTGTGGATGAATATGTTGTAGGTTAGCAATGTGGTCAGCAGCACAGAATGTGGAGCTGGGTTTCTTGAGTTCAAGTTTTGCCACTTGCCAGCTGTATGATATTGAGAAAGTTACTGAACTCTCTGTGCCTAAATTTCCTCTTCTGTAAAAGGGAGAAAATATTACTTGTGCCATAGGATTGCTGTGAAGACGAAATCAGTTCACGTAGTATGGAAGTTAAAGAAAACCTGGAACACAATGGCACCAGGTAAACTTTTGTTGTTATTGTTAGACTGAGATAGGGTTCAGCATCCACTTTGCTCCTTTTTAAAAAAAAAAATTTAAAAGAAATGGATTTAAGTGCTCATCAACCTTGTTTCACATAAAGAGAGAGACAACAGTGAAAGGACTTTGGTATGTATTATTGTGCCTCGAATCTGAACTCCTTCCAAGTTACCTGCCAAAGAAATCACAGCGGTCTATCAAGGAAACTATGCAAGATTGACAACTTGACCAGAACCTCTCAGTTTTGTTGAAAGCAAAGAATTGGAAATACCTGGTTTTCAAAATGTCTCTGGAACTTGCGCTATTCACTGTTTCAATTCCTAGGAAATAGGCTGCAGAAAACTTGACTAGCCCTATCGAATAGCTCTTAGAGCCTATTACTCTTTCACTTACGGGCTTCAAATTTAACTCAGTATTCTCAGACAGGATTGGGAATGGAATAAGTTTACCTGCTTCATCTTGACCAATAACATTTCTAATCAGTTTTATTAATGGTGTAATTTACATAGAATACAATTCACCAGTTTTACGTGTACAGTTCCGTGCATTTTGACAAATGTTTTAAGGTTGTATAACCACCACCATCATGATATAGAGCATCTCCGCCACCAAAAATGTTCCCTCATTCCTGTCTCAGTCCATGCCTCCTACAGGTTTCGGGCCTCTTATCTTTCTGTTACTATGTTTTACTTCTAGTATCTGGATGAAAACCTAGGAGTGAGATTGCTGAGTTACACAGTTAGTGTGTGTTTAGCTTTATAAAACACTGCAAATTGGTTTTGAAGCGACCCTACCGCCAGCAATCTCTGAGTGTTTATATCCTCAGCAATACTTGCTATCATCAGTAATCTTTAAATTTTAGCGATTTTATTGGGATGCAGCGGTGCCTCATTGTGGTTTTGATTTGAAGTTATCTGACTCTTCATGGTGTTGAGCATCCTTTCATGTATTTGTTTGCCATGGCCACGTGCTTATTTGCTTTATTGCTTTGCTCAAGAATCTGTTCAGATTTTTTGCTCATTTTTAATCGTCCTTTTCCTTCTTATTATTGGATTGTAAGAGTCTTTATATATTCTAGATTAATCATTTTGTAATGTACTTTTTACATTATCACATTTTTAACTATATTTTTTAAAACCCTGGTGCTACAGATTTTGCTCATCTAATTCATGGAAAAATGCCCTTCGAGTTTCCTAACAGGCAAGGCAAGGGCCGTTGTCAAACCAATTAGCTAAATCACACTTTCTGTCAGAAAAAAAATGTTTGACTTCAATTCTAACAAATAACATCAGTATGGGTCCCTGTGTCAATCCCCTCACATTTGAATTCCAACTTCAAGATAGATAGATAAAGTTCGGATATTTGCCATAAGTTTGTCATCTCTTGGATGAAAAAAAAGTGTCTTCTGTCAATGTTTCTAAAAATTGAGAAAGATGAGAAGCCTTTCTTAGACACTAGTATTCTGAATTGTTCCTTTAGTTTGTGTTCAAAATTCTTCTACCCTGGGCCGATGCACCACAGTAAGATGAGGACTGGTGAGAATAAGGCTTTCCTTTTTCAAGGGGGAGCGTCTTGCCAGGAAGGAGGAGGTAGAAAGGGAGAACATCTCAAGCACTGGGGCATTTAAGCAGGGTAGTTTTGGGAAAGTGTATGTATGCAGGTTGAAGAAATGGGACCTGCTTCCCCTCCATGCCTGCAGACTCCTGGGAAATTTCATGAACTGGGAATATCCATACCACAGACCTGAAGACCCTTGTTCTAAGCTAATGTGGTTTTTGAGAAATAAAGGCTTAATAGGCAATGGGATGCCAAATATTCCCAGAAAGATAAGTTGTTTCCTTCTGGAAGAGAGTGAGAGTTTCCTAGATGGAGAACGGAGTGATGTCTTTGAGTAGTCAAATGAGGTTCATAACCTGAATTTCTTCTTCTTTTTAATGAGAGATTTTAATGCACCAGGACCATAATTGAAGTATCTCTGTCTCTCTGTATCTCTGCATCTCTCTCTCTGTCTGTCTCTGTCTCTCTCTCTCTCTCTCTATATATATATATTTTCATAGAAGGCGGTGATGGCCTTATAAGTACATATAATACTTTTACCATTATTTAAAATCAGGTATCGTCACATTGTCTTTAAGAATATTTGATTAATGTTCCCCCAGTATGATTTTCTTGGGGACCACCTCAGTCTGTATCAGTGGGAGACCTAATTATTAGAGTATTTAATTAAGAGTTTCTTTCAGGCACCTTTCAAAAAGCAATTTAACATTTAAAAATATTCACCTTATTTATATCTCTTGAACTGAAGAGTGAAGACATTTTGACAGTTGTCAAAAAGACCCAAATAGACCAACCATTACAAAAATTATTTTCATTTATTCAAGCCTTTAAAATAAAATATTCATTTAATAGGATACTCACAGAGGCAATAAAATACATAATTTAATCAGCTTTTCAAACTCATTTAAAAATAGAGAGTTTTCATTTGAAAAAGCTCATCTATTTTTCTTCCCTCTAGCACATTAGGAAAAAAAAAAAAACGCTCACAAGATACCACATTGTATAAGCGAGCCAGATTCTGTTTGACTTACGTATCTGGATCAACAGGGAGGAAAAAGCTGCTTGCTGCAGCTGTTGGCATCCAGGCCCTGGACTTTGGGTGTCTTGAAATTATGATATGAATTCACAGTGTGCCTTTAATGAACCTGCCTGTTTTCCATTTGGTGAGGAAAGTATAGGAGGGACTTGACAGATAGATTGAAAAATCTTCCTTTTGCACTGTTGGAAGCATAGTCTTTGACCCTCCCTAGTAGGAAGATCGGTACCACCTCTCTACTAGCCTTTAAAAAATCCTCAGTTCCTTTTAATATATTTGTCTAATGATGAAAAAATATAGAGGCCTTATTCAATTGTAAATATGAACGTGGTATAAAAAGGCATAAATGCTACAACATTTAAAAGCAGAATCCCTCCCCCTCGGTATTGGAAGAACTAAGTTTAGAGCTGATATTCATGTTCCTGTAATGTTGAGGGGCACCAGCTGGACCTGAACTCACACCAACCAAGTGCAAAAGGCCCTTGGAAACCAACGCATTGGAAAGGGAATGGGTGAGTTAGTGAAAATGTCCGAATAGCAAATGGAACTAGACCACTCTGAACTGAATTAAGGAGGTACCACATCTTGCTGTGGAATGAGGGAAAGGAGATTAAATTAGCCCCGTAATGGAGACACCCAACTGTCGGCCAGCTGCTTCCCTGTTGCCATGAGACTCTGCAGCCATTGGCCAAATCCTCTTTGCTTCCTCCTGTTAGACTGGCTCACAGAATCCCAGGGACTCACTTGGTGATGCTCTTCCCATGTCTGGGCCCTGGGCTTGTCCTCTTCTTCCTGAAACACTGTTTAATACTTACTCACTTCCCGCATGGCCCCCTGACTTCATTCTTACCCGCTACTTCTGCACACCTAATTGACTCTCGTCTTGCATTGCAAGCAAGTTTCTGTTATCTGTGCTTTTCCATGTATTTCCCATGGAATGGAGTTCACCCACTAGAGCAGCCGAGTTTCTGTCAATACTTCTGTCTTTGTGTCTTCCACCACCTCCCTGCTCTATGTTGCCTACTGTGGGAGCTTCGTATGAACCAAATAGCTGTAATAGTAGCCAGTGTCACACAGGCAAGCCTAGAGGAAGTCTCTCTCCAGGGCTTGAAGAGCTGCCAAATTCAAGCCATTTGAAAGAATCCTGTTTTTCCTAAAAAAGTCAAGTGGGCATCATTGGACTCCCACGTCAGAGCAATGCTTATACAAAACCCTTGACGAGTTATGGGCTTGATTCTAATTTGGTTATTAAATTCTCAGTGTTTCTTATGTTGGGTTTAGTCTGAGGTTTGAGGATATTTTGGGGGCATATTCAGAGACAGAATATATATATATATATATATATGTATATATGTATAAATATTTGTCACATTAAGGATTTGGACCACCAGTCACATGGTACCAAAACCAATACATGAATTCAATTCAAACTTAAATTTTCTCCTTAACGTTTTTTCTGCCAAATATCCCATCAAAACAAATAATTAAATATTGTTGTAGCTGATGCGTGTTCTTTAGAATGTTTCCTTTTGGTCCACTGTTGTGTGCTTTTCATCTGGTTGAAATCCTTCATTCTCCTTTTGGAATGATGACTCAGGGACTGGTTCATTGCCTTTGCCCTCTGGAAGTTCCATATTGTTTTTTCTGTAATATTTCTTGTATGCTACATAGACTAGAAAACAATACACAGCAGGTTAAGCAAATTTCATAATAATAAGTTACAAACTTACTTTGGACAGTGATTATAATCTATGTCTCAAAAAGAAGTTGGCATTTTCTGTGGGCTGGAGGCTACTTAGAGAGCGTGATCACCATTCTTAGTTCCATGATCGCTCATGGTAGGAGGGGTGACTGCACTTCAGAAGGACCTAGCACACAGTTAAGGGCTATTTGCTCACCTGATTTCTGCAGGCATCAGCCCTGCAGGTGGTACTCACCAATAACAACAGCAGCAAACGTTTATTCTGTCCCTACTGTCTCCCAGTTATGCACTAGTCCTCAATAATATGCTACAAGCTAAGGGGTGTTGTCAGGACCTTGGTCTACTGGTCTGTGTTGGAGGACTTGAGCTGGAATAACTCTCTCTCAGCCTTCACTCTCTCTTTCCTATGATGGGGGAGCCTTGGCTGATGGGTGATCAGCCTTCCTTTCTTCCATGAAGCTGCTAGTTCCTGGTGACAGCCATTTCTCAGCATATATTTGAGGTCAGCTCACACCTGGACAGACTGGCCTGCAGTTGATGTGTGTATGCGTGTGCTAAATGCACATGTAGGAAGCAGTGGAGAGGGACGGTATTACCAAGCCCATGTGGTCGTTGTTTTGAGCCATATTTTTTAATTAAGCTTTATCTATAATAAAAGTGCTATTTTGTTATCTAAATATCTGATTCTTTTTTCTTCTACTTCTCATCTGGTTCCAAAGTCTACAGGGGAAAAGAAAGTATTATTTATCGGCACCTTCAGTTTCCAATACTTCACACTTAAAATTGGTATAATAATACTGTCTATCTCATAGAGCAATTGTGAGATAAAATGGTAAAGGGGCTAGCACAGCCCTGCGAGAGTAGTAAGTGCTCAGTAAACAGTAACTCTTGTGATGATACACAGCTGAGAGAGACAATAGCCTGCTTCCAAGGTCTTAATATGTCAAGGTCAATATCCCCTTGGTTGGTCTCTGCCCTTCTACTAATATATTAGTTTTGAAGCCACTGAGCTATTGACTCTATTGATTTGAGCTTGTGGTTAATTACAATATCCCAACACTTTTATTATAAACTGTTTTGAGCCAGGAATCCCTCAACTTATCACTGATTTTATTTAACCAAACTATTTATTTCCCTCCCTTCCTTCTTCCCTTCCTTCTTTCCTTTTCTTGTCCCCCAAAGTATTTAGACTTCTAATCCTTACACCAAAATATGTTTCCAGGCATTGCATATCCTTGTTTTCATTCTTGCTGCTAAAACTGTGGGAAAATACAAGAGCAATACTATTGCCCACTTTTCCATTAGCTTACCTACTAATCCCTTTTGAATTAGTTATTTAACTAGTAAATCTATGTAATTGTCCTATCACCAATCTACTTTCTCTGGTTTGGCTAGTAGACACCACTAGTATTATTTGGGAAAATCCCACAGTGTACCAAACTTGGTACATCTCCATCATACAGGTAAACAAGGTAATTAGGCCATGGAGCCCTCCCTCCTGTGCCAGTGATAAGTCAGTGGAAAGTTTCTAATGGGTCCAGAGGGTCCTGTACTGGAAAGGACAACTCTGCTTCGAGAATGACATTCAAGATGATAGCACAGAGAGTGGTTAACTCCTATGGGCCAGTTAAACATCTGTTGGAGCTAAGTGAAAAACCAAACCTCAGCCTATACAAAAGTGTACCTCTGGTCATTGTATCACTTAAGAGTCACATTATTTTTTCATTCACTTTCACTATACAATCCTCATTAAAATGCCACTAAGCTTTAAGAGGAAGTTTCTTTATTAAACCAACCCCCCCAAAAAAATCCCCAGAATTTGAAAATAAAGGTCAAATATGACCAGTCCTTAGAAAACAAAATATATAGAAAAGTTTCAAGTAGGTGAAAGCCAGCAGGTGGCAGGGGCTAATGGATCAAAGCTATATGCTACATTAGAGTGAAATTAAAAATCAAGTTGGCTATTCTTAGTACTTGAAATAAAGAACATGTTTGCTTCAACTATTTCAATTGTATGGTTATTATAAAAATATATATATATATATACACACATATATGCACATACATACATGTCTTCCAATATAACTTAGCCTGATAAACATCCCTTGTATACTAATTTTCTGATAAATATCCTACATATATACTAAGCATATCAAGATGATGATTTGAGAAAAATGACCAGTTCAGGGTTCCTGGAAGCAGGTAGGAAGGCACACTATAAAATGGTCCTAACAGGTTAATATGCTCCTTAATTACTGAGAAAAAGAAAGTCAGTGGAGAGAATCAACCTCCCTTACTTTTCACTTAAAAATACCCTTTACTAGAACGTTTTGGTAAGATTATAATTTTTTTCATCAGCAGTCGGGAAGTTGTGATAATATTATCGGTGGCCTTTCCCACCTGTTGATTTCACTGCCAGAAAAAGGGAATTAAAAAATGCCATACTAGCAACTCCAGGATTTCTCAAAGAAGCACATCACAATGAAATGTGATGATCAGTGTTCCTTACGTGCTAAGGATATTGCTGCCATGATGAGCTGGAAGATGCTGTAGATGAGTGGGAAGGTGAATATGAGGTTGAGCTCCTCGGTAGTGAAGGAGAGCTGGACGATGGTGGAGCACAGCTGTGTATTCTGCATCCCTGTTTCCAAAGCAACTGTTCGGCACCTGAAAGAAATGTTCCGAGAACCTGTGTTTTCATTGGTTTGTTTGGGGTGTACTTGTTTTGCTTTGTTATTGTATAACATTAAAAGCAGATATGTATGTGTTAGCATATGGTATTTGTCTTTCTCCTTCTGACTTAGTTCACTCTGTATGACAGACATGAAGAACCTAGGGGTAAGACAGGAATAAAGACACAGACCTACTAGAGAATGGACTTGAGGATATGGGGAGGGGGGAAGGGTAAGCTGTGACAAAGCGAGAGAGTGGCATGGACATATATACACTCCCAAATGTAAAATAGATAGCTAGTGGGAAGCAGCCGCATAGCACAGGGAGATCAGCTCGGTGCTTTGCGACCACCTAGAGGGGTGGGATAGGGAGGGTGGGAGGGAGGGAGACGCAAGAGGGAAGAGACATGGGAACATATGTATATGTATAACTGATTCACTTTGTTACAAAGCAGAAACTAACACACCAATGTAAAGCAATTATACTCCAATAAAGATGTTTAAAAAAAAAAAAAAAGCAGATATGAACGTAGAAAGCTTACCCTTACCAAAGGGGATAGCGGGGGTGCGGGGAGGGATAAATTAGGAGTTTGGGATTAATAGATACACAAACTATATATAAAATAGGTGAAAAGCAAGGGGACCTACTGTCTAGAACAGGAAGCTATATTCAATATCTCGTAATAACCTATAAAGGAAAATAATCTGAAAAATAATATGCATATGTGTATAACGATCACTTTGCTGTACACTTGAATCTAACACAACATTGTCAATTAAGCCTCAATTTAAAAAAATATTTACTCCGGAAAAAAAGCAGATATGAGAACAAGTACATATGTATGTGCGTATACATATATCTGTTTTTAATGTATGTATTTATTCACTATATAGTTTTATTTATATTAAATATGTAACTCATTAACATATTATTAGATAATACATTATAATATAAATAAATGTTTTATCACTTTTTCTCTACATATACATAGATAAAATCTTGCTCTAGTCACCCTTATGATCGTTATGATAATGAGAAAATGGACATAAACCTCTACAAAAGTTAAAAAGCTTTATGTAAACGAAGCCGCTGTTACTGTTTTCTCCTTTTCAAATTAAAAAAATTGGGGATTATAATATTTTCTTGTCCAGAGGAACAAGGAACACCAATTAGCTTATTTTGCCCTCTGAGCAGTGGAAGTATCTGTGTCATCTATTTCTATATGTGCATATATACACAGAGATTATTTATATTATATTTAGTATATGGATAGCATTTATTAATAAGCAATATATCCTTACTAAATACAATATTGATTAAATATTTCTTTATAAAATAAAATTAAATGTTGAATAAATATATACACATTGAAAGCAGATATATATATGTATATGTGTGTGTATATATATATATAATATATATATAAAAATTAAAAAATATATCTGAAAGGAGCAGGCTCATTTATATTAATGTTCCATAAATGGCAGAGGGGGTTCGTGTCACTCTTTTTAATTATGTCCTTGGTAACAGAGCAGAGCACAGAGCAGAGGCTGAGAAAACACTCAAGGGAGAGTATTTGTTATAGTTGTTTTATTGTTAAATTGGTTTTGTTCTTCTGTTTAAATCTTGATCAAAAATCTGCAAGGTGGGCATTACTGGCCCCATTCTACAGATGAGAAAATCAAAGGAAGAGTAAGTGCCTGGCGTGGGGTTCCACCGTGGGTGAGTGGTGGGTCAGCCTGACTCACATCACACCCTTTCCCTTGTCCAGTACCTCTCACCTTGTCCCTGACCTCATATACGTACCAGCTCCGACACCTGCTTTTCTCTCTGCCTATTGATTCTGATGCTCTAGTCGGAGAGGAAAGCCCATACATGCTAAAACAAGTTCTAATATCCAGCACTTTGTGGATCATGAGTGCATCCTGTTTCTGGCCTGAGGAACCCTTGTGGATCACAAGGCCAACCTGGGTGCTTCGGTTGAAGTCACTTTGTTTGGAGAATAAGGACGCGTGACAATGGAAGAGGCCAACTTGCACCTAGGGGGAATGGTCCAGGAGGATCTGAACAGAAACAGAGGCAGTCAGTGTTTCCTTTCTGGGGGACTTGCATAATTTAGGGATGAATGAGTCTGTATAGAATGATGTATTCAGAAATAGGGTAATGTTATTACAGGTGAGAAACTTTGAATCTGCATCAGTATGTACAGCTGTTGTAGGTTGAATTGTATTTTCCCAAATGCATATGCTGAAGTCCTAACCCTCAGTACCTCAGATTGTGCCCTTGTTTGGAAATAGGGTCACTAAAGATACGATTAGTTAAGACAAGGTGATTCAGATGCACCCTAATTCAATATGACTGGTGTCCTTATAAAAAGGGGAAGTTTGGACACAGAGACATGCACAGAAGGAAGGCAATGTGGAGAGAAATAGCTAGAAGATGGTCATCTACTAGCCAAGGAGAGAGGCTGGAACGGATCCCCTTTATCCCTCCAAAAGGGCCAATCCTGCTGACATTGATTTTGGACATCTAGCCTCCAGAACTGGGAGACACATTTCTGTTGTTTAAGCCACTGTCTGTGGTGCTTTGTTACAGCAGCCCTAGCAAACAAATACAGCAGCTATTACAGAAGCAGATTCCTAGTCTGATTTACCAAAACACCATACCTGTGCCAGGACTGACCAGCTATTCTGGCCAGAAAAAACCCTAGGGAGTAACCGGCCAAGGGAAATAGGGTTCCTATAACCCAGAGTTTGGGCTCAATGATCCAGGCACTCTGGTACAGTACTCCTCCGACCACAGCTATGAGCACAATAAGCAAGACGCCTGTGATGGACCCAACCTGCAAGAAAGACACAAGCAGATGCAGCAATCGTGAGGCAATGCAAATGCAAATATTCTTGTCAGAGAAGAAGCCTAAGCATCTCTTTCTCTCTGGGAAAGTGAGAATAAGTGACCTTTCTGTGTTACCCTTGCCTGACGGCCGCGGTAGACCCACCAGAAATGCTGGGGCTTTTCCCACGGTTTAATCTTTAAGAAGATTAACAGGACCAATTGAGAGTCCGTACTCAGCCTGAAGAAGATGTTCTAGTTGCAAATTATCCTTGTCAGAGAGGAAGAAAACCCACTCCAATAAGAACTAGAAGAGCTGGCTTCCAGATTCAAGTCCTCCTGCCTGCCTTCCTTAGGTCAATCATGAAACCTCTCTGAGTCTTAGATGTTTCATCTGTAATTGAGGATGAAATCTTACCTGAGTCACATTTTATGATTGTTATGATAATGAGAAAATGGAGATAAAATTCTATAAAAGTTAAAAAGGCATGGACAAACAAAACACTGTTATTGCTTTCTCCTTTTCACATTAAAAAAAAATCGGGGATGTTAACATTTTTTTTTCTGGTCCAGAGAAACAGAGGACACCAAGTGCCTTATTTTGCCCCCATGAGAAGTGGAATCTATCCATGTCTATATTTGTCTGTATCATCTATATTGTCTATCTCCATCAGGTGGCTAGAATATAGTTGGTAAAAGGGAATGAATTGTTGCTAATTATGTATATCATCATATATATATATAGTTATATATTATTATTTTTATGTATGTATAAATGTGTATGTAAAATCTACCAATTGCCAGGTACAGAACTGGCCATATAGATACAGGGATAAGAAAGATACGATTTCTTTTCTAAGACAGCTGTCTAGATATATTTTATAATACAAACCCACATAACAGAGATAAAAGCAAAGTGCCGTCAGTGTACAGAGTAGAATAAAACCAAGAGGTAAAGTTTGAATTGGGAATCTCAAAGCGTGGATAGAAACTTGCCCTGTGGTTGTGGTAAGACAATTCCTGTCTTACCCCTAGGTTCAAGGGTGTTCTAGAAGAGTGGGCTGCATGTCTAATAACTTTAAGACCCTCTAGAAGGGGCTTTATAATACAGTGAGAAAAACCAGTTCAGTAGATGGAGAGACCCATCGCTGCAGTGCACACTCTGGGGCACTTGACCATGCTGCCTGTGGCATGGCACACTTACCTTAAGTATGATCTTGGCTTTATCGGGCCATCTGTGATTAACAAACATTCCAATGGAAACAGGAACAATAAGAGCCACCAAAGATATACCTGAAGGTGACAGAGGGCAATTTGATCAACAGAATACAGCACAGGAAAGAGCAAAACAAGAGTAAGCGGCCCCAAAAAACGTTTAGGAGGTAGATCAGGCTCCCTTCCTGAATACACTAAATAATTTAAAAAACAACCCACCCCCCAAACTCTACTTCTTTACCTACTCCAGTAAATAATTCAGTATTTCTGGTGGAAGATTGATAATATTGATGATATAAGTCCTTTCCCTAAATCCTGGATTAATTTTTTTTAGAGTTCTTTATACTGCCAATCAATATCTTTTAGTTTCAGTTTGTCAGAATCTTGGCTTATGTGGCCTTGGGATCTTGATATCCTAGGAAAAATACCTTTTCAAAGTATGTGTGTGTGTGTGTGTGTGTGTGTGTATTCTTGGGGTGTACAAAGATGATATTTAACATCTGTCTGTTACTTCACGGTAGTAGAAATAAAAGAAAAAAAGTTCAAAATTCTCCAGGCATCCTGTGGCTAATGATTTCCGGTTAAGACTGACTTGGGTGATTCAGATCTGCAGCAGAGAAGTGAAAGAATAGGTTGAAAAAGCATGCTTTAAATTTTCCATGAGATAATATATTTGTCGACCTCTCAAGTAATTATAATTCTTTGCAGGAATGTGCTCACCCAGCCAGATAAAAGAGTCATACTTCAGTTTCTCTGTGTTAAACTTACTGCTGTTCTTGTGACATGTGGTTTGTTTCTCCATGTTATTTAACACTCATTTGTCCGATGGCTGCTTTTATATAATATGGCACCAAACAACTTCTGACTTCTCACAGGCTGTTTCTTTTTCAAACATCCTTTTAAAGTAGTAGGAGAAAGTGGAATTGAATAATGAAATTCTGAGAGTGGTTGTTGTTTGGTATTGGAGTAGATTGAACTAGGACTAGGAAATGGATTCTAGATTCCAGGGCTGTAAATATCAATTTAGAATGAATATAATAGTGATGAAGACATAATGTCTTTGTAGCCTTCTGGCCCTCCTGGGGATATAAGGGTCTGCAATTACTTTTTCCCAGAAATTACTCAATGGGATTAAGTAATAGCTAAGGGTACCAAGAGTAGAAAAAGAAAAAAAAAAATTTAGGGATGAAAGAGTAAGGAGAAAATGGTGGAATAAAGGAAATGAAAAAGGTCACTGATGGATGTGCTGGTTAGAGCCCGCAGAAGAATCCCCTTTGGGTATCCTTACATCCTGCTACTTTGGGAGGAGACTTCCTCCTCTGGGTGTCCAGACTATTCCCTAAATGGATGTTTGTAGGCCTTAAAGGAAAGCCGTCTTGATACAAATTGGTTGCACTGCGGTCGCTTAAATCTGGGTGCCAATACTGTGATTGGAATGTGAGTGCGGCTAGGTTTTGGTAATGTATTTGTCATGTGTTGGATCTGTGCAAAGGCAGCCCAGCCCGTGTTTGGCCCCTCTTTGCTGAGTCTTAATCTCTTGGGGGCAGCCCAAGGCTACCAGATAAACACACAAGCAGGACCAGTGGCCAAAGATAATGGCAGAATTGCATTTCCCCTCTTGACCAGACGAGACCGGATAAAGATTTTCCGGGACTCAAAGTTGGCTGGGAAAGACACTCTTTGCCCTTCATCCCACTCAGAGTGTGTGACTCCCACCTGGAATTCTTTACTCTCCAGAGGCCTAGAGATTTGTGTTTCTTATTCCCCACGTGCCTGAGCTCTCTGTGGCAAATGCCTGTCCATTGAGACGAGAGAGCATCGCTTACAGTTGCACTGTTTGAACCATAGCTTGGTCTGTAATCAAGGTTACGCGGCAGGTACAGGAGGGAAGAAAGGGACAAAGAAAAAAGAAGAAAAGCGAGTGGGAAACAGAGTCACGGGGTAGAACTTGGAGCCAGACAGACTCGGAGCTGAACCTTATTCACAAACTGTGAGAACCAGGTGAATCATTTAAGCCTCCCAGCCTCAGTTTCCTCGTTTGTGAAGTGGGTAGAATTATGTCTAATGCATGTTGCTGTTGTGAGAATCAGATGGGAAAGTGGATACACGGGTTGTGGTCCTAGACATGCAGGGGATGGAAGAGGTGGCATGGGAGCTTTCTGCAGTGTTTGCAGTGGTACCAGCTGCGCAAGGTGCCTCCTTCCTCCATCCAGATGTCACCATCTGAAGGGGCTCAGGGGGTGTTTATTGAATCATCAGAACATGATGAGCACCGTACGGAAACTGGGCCCAATAGGCCGGCCAACGGAGCAGAGTAGAGAGCAGGCTGAGGCTTATTTCCAGCTCCTTGGTCATCTTGGACAAATTAAGCACATACCCCGAGCCTTACTTAATTGCCTCATTGAAAAGTATCGAAAACATCTTGTGAATTAATCAGGTTGTGTGTTTTCTACATTAAAGGGTAGCAAGAAGGTTAGGTTGGAAAAAGGACAAGGACAAAATGGTGACTAAGCGGAGTTAATACTTTTGTTTTTTCAAACTCTCATTTTAAAACTTTTTATCTTTTCCTCTTCATTTCTCTCCCCTTCTGTTTTCTGTTTTCTTTTCTTTTTGCCCTTTATGCCTCATAGGATGACCTTTTCCTCCTTTCAGGTACTAATGACTCACTTTCTCTTCCTTTCAAAATTTATTCACATTGAAGAAGGTGCTATCAGTCATTCACACTGTAGTTAGAATTTCCCAATATTGCCATGGGGCATTTTCCAGGAGGGAATGACTATCAAGAGGAGACTATTTTAAGGCTTACATTTTTTTCTTCAACAACAAATAATATAGAATTAAAACTCCTCATTCAGCAGACACATTCTATGAGAGGCCTACAGTGCACACCACTCAAGCAAACTGCGCTCTTTTCCTCGAAGGAAGGTGTCCTCCCAGGGAGCAGACTGAGAGTTGAGCAGCATGAGGCACAGGCAGGTGGCTGTACAGGGTCACCCTAAAGCCTGCTTGCAGGAGATGACATCTGATAGGAAGGAGCTCCCTGGGGTCTGTAGAAGGACCACGTGAGGAGAAATCCCACACTGAACAAGGTGTGCCAAAAAGGACCACTTTTCTGTATGTGTGGGGAGGATGTCTAATGGCCATGGTAGGAATAGAGTAGATTCTGTGTGAAAATATTGCAAAACAGATTGTCCCCCATGAGTGTTCCAAAGTTTGTTCTAACTCAGTTGTGTAGACCCGAATCATGTTTTTATCACAGAAACAGTTTTTCTTAGAAATGGAAGCCATCCAGTCCAGCTTCCCATGTCAACAGGAATCCTGTTTACAAACATCTTTCTGAGGCACTGTTCAGTCTTTGCTCACATGTTCCCTTCCACAGGACCCCTGCACCTCTTTGAGGCAGCCCATCAGGGAGACACTGGTCTGCAAGGTCAGCTGAAAAAAGACTGTTTAGCATGTCAAGTAGCTGGCCATTGGTACTGAGGTACTAGTTCACTTACATCTCATCTTTGATGACCGTGGTTCTAGCGGATGCTTGGTTTGGGTAGACCAGGAACTATCTTGTCCTGCCCTTGACCCCATGTTCCACCAATGACTTAACCTCCCACCAATATTTGTTCTCCCAGAAACAGGAAATAAAGCCCTTTGGGACTGGGGGTGACCATCTGGAAGCTGAGTGGAGACAGAGATACAACTTGCACATTTGACTCCCAGGGCCTGGTACACAAGCTGGGCCAGTAGATCAACTTCTGAATCACGACGTGGTTCCCAGTGGAGGGTTATAAATAGTGTGTTTCTCATGGAACTCACTATTTATGTGTGGAGGGTTCTCGTGGCCATTGCTTACTGGGTGCCCTATTTTGAAACCATAAATAGAATGCTTTTTGTATTTGTTCAATATGAGTGTTCCGGAGCACCCTGGACCAGTTGCGCCCTGGGATAAGGGAAGGACAGAGCCTCCTGTGCATCGGCAGCCCCAGCCTCCTCAGGTCCAGATGGCTGTGCACGGGGGTCCATTCCGTCAGCACCTCCCTGGTGATTTCAGTGGAGGACAAAACCAGTTCTCCCACGGCGTCAAGCTTTAGAATTCACATTCGGCCAATCCTCATTCAAACGCAGGCGAGACTTGTCCTGAAATCCTAACTGGGCAATAACTACTGCTGGTGCGAGAAGTAAGGTCTAGCTGGGTCTGAGCCTGGCCTGAGGATCTACCCAGGGACAAGCAGAGGGGAGGAGGGCCGGGTTAAGCAATCTCGTGGAGGAATGACTTACCTATTTTATCATAGGGAATTATGATTATCCCAGAGTCGACCCACATTTTGGTATAGATTAAGAGGCACAGCGGCATCATCCCCAGGGCAAGCAGCGTGGAGCATGTGGTCATGCTGATGCTGAAAGGAAACGGGCAGGGTGATACAGCCACCTGGGTTTTCTACGGGAGAGGTGGTTTCATTTTTCAGTGCGTGATTAGAAAGTCCTGCCAAAGACCCTCCGCCGGCAGCACCATCCGGTCCGATGGACAGAAATACACACGTACCCTGGTCTGTGCAGGGCCACACCGGGGGCAAGATGGTGAGATCTGTATTTCGTGTCTTTCTACTTTGTCTTGTGCCACCCCTCCCTCCCCATTGGTTCTCAAGGATCAGAGAAGATACTTTGTGACTGTATAAACTCGTTGTTAAACAAGGTACAAGGTGCTTGGACATGCCACCCTTCGAACCTCCGATCAGAGAACAGCAAACACATTTATACCCGCCAAGACATCAGGGGCTTTGCTGTGTCTGCTCGGGATGAGACGGGCCTCCATGGCCCCTGGAGGAGAATGCACGTCCAAGGGAGGAAGCCTCAATGTCTTTCCTTAAAGCAGACAAATTATTCCCCTAACGCCCGAAGCTTGAGAGAAGGAGAGGAAGCTGACTTCAAAAACCAAGGAAAACATGCAAGCAGGCAGGGTGGGCCTGGGTTCTAGTTCTGCTAAGAAATTTAGCAGATGGTGCCCAGTAGCGCCAGGGTCTGGTAGCGCTCCTCCTGAAGCATCAGTGTTTGAGCGAGTGGACACGGTTGAGCAAGTGGACTTTGGCTTTGGAGTGGAGGGCATGGAGTGATGCTATTTTTAGCACTACTGCAGCGGATGGAGGAGAGGTTTTGGGTAGCGGGTCTTTTGGTCCCTGAAAAGTGCCCTGTGTATGGGGGCATATTCTCTTCCTGGGAAACAGAGCCCTTAAACGGCTGGGCCAGACACTGGCTGGCTTGGAAGCAGGCGTGGCCACGTTTATGGCTATGGGTAATTTACTTGAGTTCCCTTTGCCAGTTTCCTTATCTGTGAAATGAAAAAAATCATAATCATCGCTACCTCATAGGCTGTGAGGACTAAGGGACCCAGTGAGTCCAGTACTTAGAATAACGCAAGGCGCTCATTAGAAGCCAGTTAACTCTAACCCTAACCCTAATCCTATCCAGCCATTGTGTGTGTGTGTATGTCTGTGTTGTGTTTCAGCATAATACAGAATCAGGAAGCTAGAGAGATTTTTCTGAAAGGCCCTTTCTCTAATAGCCGTAGCACTGAGACTATCAGAGTAGTAAGTTCTTAAAGGAATTATATGTGGACTTCAAGGAAATATTAAGTTATTTACAACACCTGCCTCCCCTCCGGAAAAACAACCCAAAACCACAAACCACCCTGCACATTGCTAAGGAAAATAGCTGGAGGTGAGGAAGCTCGTTTCATTGCATCTAACTAAGCAGTTTTGGCAAAATGAAGGATGGGGCGGTGTTTATCAGGGGGCTTGCCTTGCATAATAATCATTTTTTTAAAAACCAGAATGAAGTCGCTTAAGACATGTTTAAAGGATTTAGAAAAAAATACTTGTCTTAGTAGAGCTAAAATTGTGTAACAATAACCAGTGCTGGGGATGTATGTAAAGCATTTCCAAGAAGTTCGATCTGTTATGGTGACACGTTAACTTAATTTAGATATGCAATAGGATGCTAAAGGCAGAGTTCCACACCAGAATAATAAGTTAATTTGTTACGAATAGTGCTTTGTCCCACTTATAAGTAAGATCCTGGAGTTTGATTTTCCCCTCTCTTCCTTTGCCATTCTCTTTTTCATCTTTTATTTAAAGAAATAAATTAGGATGGATTTAAAGTTATCCCCATAATAAAATTACTTTTATTCCAGTGCATCCAATATGCTTTCCAGAGTGGAGATGATGGGATGGGGGTGGAGAAGGGGGCAGTGTTCATTACCTGCATCACAATGAAGAGAAGGCTGACCATTTTTTGTTTTAAACCATGAGAACAACTGTTAGAAGGAAGTCTGTTTCTCCCCTTGTTTTTCTTTCAAATTTCCTTCTGAAAGCTTCAATTCTGTCTCATTGCTAAGACAACTTATGAAGTTGTGTCCTGGCTTGAGTTTGGCAAGAATGGTTTCTTAAAGCCCACGAGAAGCGACAAAACCGGAGTTGGAGAAGGGAGTGGTTTAGATTTAGTGGCCACATTGACCATGAGATGCTGCAGAGAGGCAAGAGGCAAGATGGCCAGAGCCACTCAAAATGAGATGAAAACCAACTCAGATAAACGATTTTAAGGAACAATGTAGGAGAAAAAATTAGCAAGGAAAAATCATTTTACATAAAAAATTTGAAGTTCTACAAAGAGCAAAGATGTCAACAATGGAAACACTATACCCTGCATTTATATTGGAATAAGAGAAAACATCAGAAAAAAATCTCTTGGTTTAAATTCTTTCCTTAGTCCTGTTCATTGCCAGGGAGAATTGTTTTCCTTCTTTTTTCTTTTTGGAAGCAATAAATGAGAATTCAGTGAATGTTGAGGAATTTGGTGAAGTCCGTGATAAGGAATGCAAAGATTATAATCATATTAGAAGTGAAACACCAAGTTTGAAAGATCAAAAGAAGTGTATACAGGTGGGGCTAGAAGGCGGAGACATGATGATTGATAGAAATAGTGTTGAACAGAGGTTAAGAGTCCGGACAGGGCTAAGTGAATAGGTCTGGATTCCGATTCTGACTCTCACGTGTACTGACTATGACCTCTGTCAAGGATAGGAGCCTTAATTTTATCATCTATTAAAGGCAGAAAATAATAGTGCTAACCTCAGAGGATTAGTTTGAGGATTAAAATACACCTAGAGGACTTATACGGTGAGTGGCCCCTAACAGTGTCCACTAAATGTTAGCTAGTAAATAAAAAGAAATGCTGCAGAGCAAAACAAAGCTTGGTTCCTCTGAGGGAAAATAAAGGGGAATTCAAATAGTGTTGGATTAATTCTTAGATCAGAGAGGAGCTGGACATTTGTGTCATTGAAATGGGAAGAACTGCTTTGAATTTGTGATAAGCCAGAGGGTCAGGGATTTCGAACAACTAAAATAACAGTGAACACAAAGTTGGAAGATGAAAAATATAACAACATTCGGCAAAAGAACAAAGGTTGTAGTAGGAAAACTTAGAAACTCTTAAATCTAGAAAATAATCAAAGGGAGTGTAGACAGTGCATAGCAGTGAAGGAACTGGGGGAAACTGAAGAAAGGATGCATAGGCAGGGATTCCCCAAAGAAGAAGTCAGAGAAAGGATAATGGGTTCCATATATAAGCGATATCATATGATACTCGTCTTTCAGTGTCTGACTTACTTCGCTCAGTATGACAATCTCCAGAAAGGATTCAAATGAACTTATTTATAAAAAAGAAGTAGAGTCATGGATGTAGAAAACAAACTTAGGGTTACCAGGGGTTAAGAGGTTGGGGAGGGATAAATTGGAAGATTGGGACTGACATATCCACACGAGTATATATAAAATAGGTAACTAATAGGGACCTACTGTGTAGTACAGGGAACTCCACTCAATACTCTGTATGGGAAGAGAATCCAAAGAAAAAGAAGTGGATATATGTGTATGTATAACTGATTCACTTTGCTGTACACCTGAAACTAACACAACATTGTAAATCAACTCTACTCCAACAAAAATTTAAAAAAATAAAGAAAGGAAAATCCTTGTGTGGTGTGACCGAGGCCATTGCTAAAGAAAGGAAAGATTAAAAAATGGGGAGTCTTTGGGTATACAGAAGACACAAGGGGGTGGAAGTCTCTGTGTTTGTTCCCCAAACTGTGGGCCACCAGCAAATTCACCTGAGAGCACCACCTTCATTTCTCCCTGGGACATTTTGTTCATAATGCGCCCACGGCAGAGCTAGAATAGGTGAAAATACTTGTTCACGGATCAGATTCCCACAACTTTCTAGGCTGGAGTGGTCTAAGAAGGAGCTGAAATATTACTTGCTGTATTACAATGAGCAAGGATTCCATTAGTAAGGTCTGCTTTTTTTGCTATTTGTGTGTGTGTGTGTGTGTGTGTGTGTGTGTGTGTGTGTGTGTGTTTGTGTTGAAGTCACCAGAGACTGCAGAATGCAATGGTTTCCCAGGTTTGGGAAGAGATGACAGCGTGAAGGGGAGATGATTCGGTTTCTCCCAGGAACCACATCCAGGAAGTTAAAGCCAGATGGAGTTGTTTTGCCGGTGTTATATGGTATCTGCTCAACTAGTGCAGATTCAAGTGGAACTAGAATTCAACTAGAGTTCAAGTGGAAATGGAGGAGGTAAAGTTCCAAGAGGACAGGATCGGAAATATAGAGGGTAGATAGAATTGTATCTACATAAATGATCATGAGACTTTAGTTATCCACTGCTCACTCCAGAAGAAGAAAAAGTGTTGGAAAACTGTTTCCCGATAGCTGAGGTGTCACTTTCTTAATTTGCTCTGAAGAAATATTTCAACAGTTTTTCCTCTAACATGTGCAATGCATAAGGTCATCATCTTCCTAGAGGCATAATTTAACGTCCTTTCAGTGATCATGGGTTATCGTTATTATGTGTTCCACTAAAATGTGGTGATGTCTTCTGGGTGATATGCTTACAGAGCTGTTTGTCCCTAAAATAGTGATGCAGAGCTGCTGTGCTTTCTGACTTAGCTTCTTCGCTTTGGAGGCATTTTGATCTTTTCCTTTGCAGTCATGCTTTTGGGGCCACTGGCTGCTGTGGGACATAGGCCTGCCCCTTCTAACAATTTGCTCCACCCTACTTCTTGTTTTTCATCCTCTGTGCTGGGAAAAAGTTTTAGAGCTTTACAATCGGGAGAGTAAGTGGGTGCTGTGTGAGGAACGTCTATGAGATGAAGAATGATTTACTTTGTGTGTGCAGAGTCTTTCACTGGGTCTTGTTTGAGTTCCGGATAGGTGAAGTTGCTAGAGAGGTGATGACTGCACTGGATGTGTGCTGGTGTTGTTTACAAGACAAGGGAGATCTGTGGAGTGCACACTTTCTAGAATGAAAATTAACAATATTCAATGCCACGTGTCCCATTAGAGGACTTGCTGAAGGATTCACCTATACTGATTCAGCTGGGGGTTTTCCACCAAGGTTTCAAATTCTAATTCTGGTTCTTATGTCTTACAGGAATTGTTATGCGAGGGAGATAAGATTACATAATCATCTCCTGTTTACAGAGAAATAAGATTTCCTTAAAACCCCAGGAAAGTGTAACTTAGAGTTTTTAGGTTAGGTTTTTACAGTTTCAGCCCCCAGAAGGGAATCTGCCCCAGTAGCTGCTCAACTCAGCATCACACACACTTTTCTGTCTTACAGAATGATGACACGTGTGGCATTTCGTGGAGGCACAAGACTCTTCTGTTTTCTTAAAAAGTTACAAATATTATGTAAAAGATGTTTGGTGGCAAAGTCCTGTATTCAGTTCAGTTCACTCCCCTCAACTTGCCTGTAGAATTCTCACCTCTGTGCCTTCACCCAGGTCACACCAAGTTGAAATCTAGCAAGGCCTTATCGCTATAGGGTGGTTCACAGATTAACTAAACCTGAAGCGCACTTGCCATCCTTTGCTCCTCACAAGACTTTCCTTAGAAAAAAAATCTATTGCAAGGAAGAGATGGTATTTCCTTATGGGAGAGAGATGTCACATGAAGGTATATCGTTTGTATGGCTTTTCTAAAGCTTCTGGAGAAATCCTCACCAGCCGGGCTCAGGTGGCAGGCTTCCAGTTGCCCACTAGGCACTGGATCAACCTGGAATCCAGTCTGACATTTTTACACATGAGCTTCTTGCTTCTGACTGTTATAACGTGATGCACAGAGCCCATTGCCTACTGTACAGTATTTAATAAGCACTCGTTACACTGACACCTGGCAGGTTTGCAGAAAGGCATACCTTTCACAGGAAATGAGGAATGGTGAGGGAAGGAAAAAGACATTTGTCTATTCAACTTGCAGCGTTAAAATTCCTGGTGTCCTTGCATTACTGCTTTGTCTTATTCCTATTCGTTTTTTTTTTTTTTTTCCCAGTGCTAGTTCAGACTGGCATAGGATGAATTGGGCAAGCACTGCAATTTAGATTACTCTGTGGGAAGCAGAGAAACCATTTTCTGTTTATTTTATAGGAAGGTAAGCATAATTTTAAAAAAGCTGTTGTAGAGGTTTTCTTTTTTCTTTCTTTCTTTATTTTTTTTTGTTTAATGCCAGTAGAAGTGAAGCAAATGTACAAAATCTTTCTTACACCTTAGACCAAGAAAAAGCTTGTCCAAAAAACTGGCTGTGCTTGGCCATTGTCTCATCCTAGGGTCTAACTTTTAATGAACAACTTAGTTTCACGATTGCATTCAAAGCTCCTGATCACCACAAAGAAAGTGTTTCTTGTTTTTCTTTTTTTCTGATACCAACAAGGAAAACTTTCTCAGCTGCAGCTTGTGGCTTGGAAAGGATTTCTTTTTCTGAAAAACTTTGACTCTTTTCCCAAAGAGAAACAGCAATTATACAACTCCTTGTTAACTGAGTTAGATTTTAAAACACAAACACAAAATAGAACCCCTAAATTCGCAGAGCTAAGGAGCTGCATAGGAAGGCGAGTCAAGGCGTTTCGTCTCCTGTTTCAGTTCTTAGCTGGACCCTAGATCAATGGCAGATCAGACGGCCATTCACAATGCCATAGGCTTCTGAGAAGATTAATTCAATGTGATTGCAGTACTGGGAGGTTTAGATATCTTACCTCAGGTCCATGTCGCCATCAACCCAATAGGCCAAGATGTTGGAGGTGGTTCCTCCCGGACAGCATCCCATGATGAGCACCACTACAGCTTGGATGGGGAGGATGTCAAAGGTCACTGAGAGGATGAATCCTGTGAGGGGCATGATTCCAAACTGACAGAGGAAGCCAACACATATGCCCCATGGCCGCTTTATGTGCCCTAGGAATTTCTTGATTTCCACATTGCATCCCATGGAGAACATCACCAGAGACAACAGGATGGTTAAGACCGTGCTCAGGACCACACTTAGAGTGGTGTTGAAATCATCCTCTGGCACCACACAGGACGCGCCATCGCAAACTGTTGCGTTGGCCAAACAGACCGTTGAATGATTCATTGCTGGCTTTTCTGCTCAACTTCTCACAGGAGTCCACAGAAGCGCTTGTCCTCTACTCCTCACTAGATGAGTACGGTCTACTCCAACTGCATCAAACTCTTAAACCCTTTTTAAACATATGTCACCTGGTGTCTCCTTCAAAAGCCACCTCAGAGAGGCAATAAAAAACAATAAATGCTAGTATGTCAGTTTCGAGAGGTAACCTTACAACACAGCACAAATTATGAATCATAAAAGTCCTGCCAAATTATTGGTCCAGACAGAGAATTCTAATTAATCATTTATTGACATGATAATGAACTGTGCCATATAAAAAGAGCTGTGTTAATGTTTAATGCTGGGAAGCTTTGTTCAATAATCTCAGTTAAATGACGCTTAAAATCCACTCAGACTGTTACAGAACATTGTAGGGGTAAAGCCGCAGGAAAGCATCTCCTTGCAGTGGGGGCGATTGGGTCCTGAGAAGGCCAGTGCCTTGTGACAAATCAAATTGCCGATTAGTATCAGACTCTGAGCTGGAACCCAGACCATCAGTTTCCTCCCCTACTAGTTTTCCTACTGTATTATTCTGTCTGGGTGTATTGGTCTATAGTGTGCATAAAGAATATTTACGTTTGAGAAACTTGTAGGGTTTTGATGCAAACCTATGGGAGAGTAGCATGCAGGAGGGTAGGATGCTTTCTGTACTGTCTGGTGGGAAGGCGGCCAGGAAAGCCCCCCTCAGTTACTTACACACACAGTTATGTATGTGTTGCCATGGTAACAAAGTGCTGCATAGCAAGAGACAATACAATTATTTGGAGGGATGAACCTCAGAGGATTAGGTCAAAGTGATGGGAGCTCTTTGTGCTTGACATCAGGAATGGAAATTAGAAATTTTTTTTGCGGGGGGCGGGAATCTGAGGTTCCAAGGGAGGTTGATTTCTGTGCATGTCAAATGGTCAAACGTATTATGAGCAGAAAGCTGTCCTCAGCATATAGGGAAGATAAAAAAGAAGTAGAGGAGAGATTCTTCCTATTCTTAGGAGTTTATAATCCAATTTTTGGGTCAGGATGTGGCATAAGAATAAAATTGAATATTTGGGGCTTCCCTGGTGGCGCAGTGGTTGAGAGTCCGCCTGCCGATGCAGGGGACACGGGTTCGTGCCCCAGTCCGGGAAGATCCCACATGCCGCGGAGCAGCTGGGCCCGTGAGCCATGGCCGCTGGGCCTGTGCGTCCGGAGCCTGTGCTCTGCAACGGGAGAGGCCGCAGCAGTTAGAGGCCCGCGTACCGCAAAAAAACAAAACAAAACAAAACAAAACAAATTGAATATTTGGATCATGATTCACGATTTATTGGACAAATTCTAATTTATTATTCAATTTAATCACCTTAAATAGGGTTAGCATCCCCATTTTACAGATGAGGACTTGAGAGCCTAGGAAATGAAGCGCTTTATTCAAGGTTACCCAGCAGATAACTGGAAATACTGGAACTCAGTTTGGCTTGGAGGCGATTGAGAGAAATACCTTAGAAAGGAGCTGCTCCAAACTCAGCGTGCCCACAACTCCCGGGTGGGTCTTGTTAAAAGGCAGATTCTGAATCTGGAAGTCTGGGGTGGGCCTCAGGCATCCACGTTTCTGACAAGCTCACAGGTCACGGTCATGATGCTGACCCAGGGACCACACTGGTCTCAGGATACTGACATCAGGGTGACCCTAACTGCACCCAAGCTGGTAAAAATTGAATTTACTGGTCACTTACTTACTGAAGAACTTCCTGAAAACAGCGTTTACAGAGCAACTTGATTCCATAACTTGAATGAACATGAGCTATGGGCAGCAGGGGGGCCACCAAGCAAAGGAGCCAATTGAGCCAAAAGCCTCAGCCCCTGGGGTCCCTGACGATGGCCTCTTCATCTTGGATTGAGCTGCTGGGAAAACCTTGAGCCCCGTCCTCAAAGGGTGACAGTGACTCACGCTCACTGCTGGTGCAGCCCCCTGTCCCAGGAGCGCTCTTCCTCAGCTGCCTTCCCCGCATGGGTGGGCTGCCATCAGCTCTGCCTGACTGCTTGCTAGGTCCTGGAGATCCTCTGTCTCTCCCATCACCCTTCTCACTCCCACAGCTAAATGATTAGCTAGCTCGTTCCTGTCAGGGCTCCCTTCCCACTCCTAGGCGTGGAGTGGCTTGGCCCTGCCCTGCTGGCTGGCTCCAAGCATCTCCTGATCTCTGACCCACTTCTCGGCTCACGTGCCAGCCAGCCAAGGGCGCATGAGCTGAACGCGCCCCCTGCCGCTGCACCTTGGCACCTGCTGTGTTGGCTCTTCTCCAGCCAAGCTGGGGGGCGGTGAGGGGCAGCCTGGTGCAGAGCTGCAGAATTATGCACTTGACACATACATACCCAGGGTCCGTCAGCTGTCCAAGCAGCTGCCCTACTCTGACCTCCAGCATCACCCGAGAGTCTGAAAGCTAGCCCAGGCCCTGCCCGCAAACAGCCTGTTTTACTTCACTGGGTCTGGTCTGGAAAGGGAAATTGGGGTCCTGTCGGGTGGGGTGAAGGATTAGGAATTTTCCCGGGAGGGGCTTCATGTTCTGGCCGTGCCTGGAGTTGCCAGGTGAAAGCCTACTGAGCCTCTGGTCCGCAGGAGAGAAAGTGAAGGGAGAGAGAGAGGGTAGGATCAGAACAAAGCTCTGCTCAAATTTCAGACGACTTGCTAAGGAGATTTGAGGCTCCCAGGGGCAGAATGCTTTGCATATAGACAACTTGCAAATGAGCAGTCTGTTTGACTAGACAGAGTGCTACAGTTCTGGTTAAAACAAATGTGCCAATGCATTTCTAATTTTCACATTGTTTTTGCATAAATTTGCACATTAAGGCTCGAGAGGCCTTCTATTCAAGTATCGGAGAGATTCACAATTAATTAATACCCTGAACTTCAGCTGCATTCAAATTCAGGCATCAGACCAGGATGAACAGGAAAGATCTAAATATGAAAAAAAAAATCATTTGCTTTCATTACGACACAGAATCGGGGAACAGATGCACACCTGAGTGGGCCGTCAGGAGGCTGGGGCTTGATTTCCACTGTCATCTTTTTCAGTCTTTTCTGCTCAGTTTCTTCATGCCCTGGGCTCAGCTATAGGCAGTCTTCAAGAAACCAGCAGCAGATTTCTGTTCCTAGCTGCCTGGGTGGAGAAACCAAGGGTTGTGAGTCAACTTGACAGCTCAGGCTTCCCTCTGGTTCTGGTGTATCGCTCTGGAGAAATGAGGATTTAATAACTTTTCAAGGTGTTTGCTCTGAAGTTCATATGATAAAAGATGAGCTTTCTATTTTCTATTGTGTTTCATCAGGGATGGCTCTCTTCAGACCAGCAGTCTTTTGGGACTTGAGAGATTCCGGAGAACTGTTCTCTCTGACTGAAATGACCTTCCTCTCTCCTTTCTCCCATCCTTTTGTGGAACCTGCAAGTCCACAATTAGAGTTATTATTTGGAGTCTCCAAGGACCCTCTTTGAGGCAAAAATACCCTGGGGAGAATAGCCTATGAATGACTAGGTGTCCACGCATCTGAGTTGCATTAAAGGAAAAAAACAGCGAAGTATTGGTGAGAGGAAGTAGTATGAAGGGTTTAGAATTTACTGAATGTGAAAAGCACTGGACTTGGAATCAGAAGATCTGAGTTCTAGGTCTTCTTCTGTGGGAAACACTGGGCCGACTCTTAAGGCTTTTATGAATGAACGTGAAACCTTATTAAAAGTCTGGAGGAGGTGCAACCATTTTCAAAAATGGTTAAAGCTAAGTTATACACATGGACTCTGACCCAGTCATTCCAGTCCCAGGTAAAGACCTAAACAGATGCATAAATTGAGTTCCTTGAAAGACATGGACTAGAATGTTCATGGTAGCCCTATTCATAATAGCTCCAAACTGGAAACTATTCAAAGTCCATCAGGAGTAGAATGGGTACATAAATTGTGATCTATTCACACAGTGTAATTTTATACATCAATTAGGATGGATGATCTACCATGACAAGGTTAATGTTGAGTGAAAGAGACCAGACTCACAAGAGCCCATACAAAAACAGGCAGCACTAGTCTATGGTGTTAGAGGTCGGGATGGTATTACCCTTGGATGCAGGAGAAAAGAGACTGAAGAGGTCAGAAGTATGCCATACTTCAATAGGAAGTGAAAAATAACAATGCTTCTGTCCTGGTAGGAACAGCCTGGGAGGAGATATACGTCCTGTCCTAGGGAAGTCAAGTGACAGAAGATAACACTAGACTTGAGATGATTTCATGTGAGAATAAAGCAGGGGGTAGAAGTGGGGGGTTTGGGGAGGATCAAGATGAGGAGGGAGGTAGGGAGATGGATATTTTGCTCTTACCATTTAGCAAGGATTGGTTCTATTAACCATCCTCTGGTGACTAACTAACTAACTATGGCTTAGTAACTTTGTGGTGATCAATTAAACATTTTCTAAATGTCTAAAAACATGAATCTCTGTGAATCTTTAATAAAGTACTTTTGGGTTAATTCTAGATAAACCTCCAAGCAAATCCTCTTTATAGAAGGCAATGCTTCTGTCCTTTTTGCTTCCTCAGTGACCCATAATATTAAAAAAATTATTTTATTGAAGTTTAGTTGATTTACAATGTTGTGTTAGTTTTCGGTGTACAGCACAGTGATTCAGTTATACACATATACATATATATTTTTTTCAGATTCTTTTTTGTTATAGGTTATTGCAAAATATTGAGTAGAGTTCCCTGTGCTATACAGTGAGTCCTTGTTTGTTATCTATTTTATATATAGTAGTGTGTGTATGTGTTAACCCCAAACTCCTAATTTATCCCTCCCCCACCCCCTTTCCCCTTTGGTAACCATAAGTTTGTTTTCTGGGTCATGTCCTCTCTTATTAGGAGGATGACCATCGCTATTTCTTGGGTATGATTTTTAGTTTTTAATGGTTCAAACCTGCAAACATTTTTATACAAATACAGCTAATCACACACTGCAACCCACA